TCTCGAGTTGAAAGTGGGTGACAAAAAGTGCGAACACACAGACACACACACACACACACGCACACAAACACACAGACAGCCTCTTCCCAATATGCGTTTTTGCAATTTGCATATATGCAAAAACGCATAAAAACGAATTATCTGCATCCTGACAATGCGCTCGATTTGTGTAAGTTATGCTACAGTTACGGGGCGCTGCATCTCGTGGTCACGACACTTCGCTTTGTTTTGCCGGCGTTCTTTGTGGATACCGCTGGTAGAACTTTCAGTGTCGACACTGTTGTCATCGATGGATTGTACAGATGGAGAAGACCATTCCAGAACGGCTTCACAAAATATAGCGAAATGATCGGATTCAAACATGGCTGCCAGTTCAGTAAAGCCATTGCTAAAGATCCGTAATCCAGCACGGGAACCTTTGCAAAATGCGTGATACAGAACGTGAACAGCGGAACTGCGGTGCATACCATCGGTACCAGCGCCTGTAAATATGCGTTTTCTTCAGTGAATCATGATTTTTATTCATAATTGATCTCGATCTTCCGATTTCGCCAGTGAATAGAGCAGCCCCACTTACAACTGTCCATTCTTTCCGACGGCATATTGACACCGAAATATGAGAAGATTACTTTCAATTAGGCATGGGCAAGGCCGAATTATCTTTAATATGTAAATGGTTAGCGATTATTCTAAGAAAAATCCGCTTCGCAGCTTGACAAATTGCTTCTTCGCTACAAATATACTTGACGTGCCCTTTTGCGCTATACAGGCATATGTGAAAGCTAATTTTACGCATACCAGCTCGCACAATGACAACAGATGCTCCCATAAAAGAAGCATCTGTCAGTCGACAGTGTAACCGGTTTTTTGCTAGCGGTGTCTCGATTTCAGCTTTGACATGCCCGTACTTGTGACGTAGGCGTGCATAACAGTTGAATTTGAAAGCTCTAGCTCACACAAGCACGGGAGAAAATCCTGCAATGTTGCAGCTCCTGCCTAATCTGATTCCTGAAATCGCTTTGCTACCAAAACTTTCCCATATATTCTTTCAGACATCCGTATGTAAGATCCAAGCGTAAACGACCGTTGATTTTAAGTTGAAAGATCACACGCGGGTCAGGAGTATTCTCCTTTCAGGCGGATCGGGAGTATTCTCACAAAACTTCAGCTTCTTAACTTTTGTGATTGATCGGTTAAAAATGAATGACAAAGTCCGAACACAAATACGCACACACACATCAACAACCTCTCTGCAGTAGGTGTTTTTGCATTGCTAATTATGAAAGCAGCCTACCTGAACAAGCATGGCAACAGTAAGCTGTCTCTGCAACACCTTAGTTCTTTGTGCCGATGCATTCTGTCGTAATGTTTTCAGTATGTGATAAGACGTCAAAAAAATGATGGAATATGAAATTGCCATTGAGACACATAGTGTAAAGCATATCAGTCCCAAAAGCCATAGCATCTGAAGCATCATTTTATTAATGCTTTCAGTACTCATCTAAAATCCGATCTAAGCGATCTGTCATGAAGACGGCAGTCTTTGAGCTTTAGAACTCCCGTAGTAACAGCTAAATTTGTACCACGGTGTTTCTTAATACAAATTCGTCTCAGCTCCTTTCATGTTCATACGCTGTTAGTGGAAAACCACTTCAGAAAGTAACTGCAAGTCGAAAGTTTGTTAAATTATAACTAACGTGATTTGCAAAGAAACAGATGAGGTGGTAATGAGTGGAATTCTTCTTAGTAACATAACTGTACACGCTTATTTAGTTGTTTTTTAGAGAAGAAAACTAGAATACTTATCATTTTTGCTAAAATTTCCTTATACCTTTGATTATCAGCTAATTAAAATTTTCCTTAAATTATAAAAAAAGCCATCAAGCTCAGGCGCGTATCTATAGCCAGTTAGTATCATTAACGTAAAAACTTCACAGGATTGAATAGCTCATTGGAACAAGATATGCTATGATCAGAACTGTGGGTATAAGAGAACCAACCTTGTTTTTAAATAAAATGATGACGACAGTGTCTGGGAGAAATGTACTGTCGAGGCGCACTTTTTTGCAAATGACCAAATCTTCCACTCCTACACACACTGCGAGCGACACTATAATCAGCGGTAAGCAGATACAAATAATACTCCGAGAGTGGTCGTACAAGTTTACAAGCCAACGCTTCCTGAATTATTTATTTGTTTCAGTTCAAAATGAGGATAGCTTTCGAAGTAGCACCCTCACATTTGTATTTTATTAGAAACTTCGTATGTTATTGTTTTTCAGAAATAAAAAAATCGAAATTTATGTCAAATTCGAAAAAAAAAAACCGTTTGCTGTGACCGTTACTACATTACCTGCATGCCAGCCTACTGGTAATCTGGCAATGAGCTGCAAATAAGCAGGAAGTGGGAGCAGTACCGCGAACGTGATACGCCTCATTTTTGGAGCATCATTATCAAACATGGATAGCTGCAGATGGATGCCCAAATAAAGAAAAATGAAGGTGCCAACTATAGAAATGGCGAGAAGAAATACGATTTCGAAGCAGCAGCTGTTCATAGTAGCACGCTTTTTCACGGCACGATAGCATATTTCTTGCTATGCTAACTGCTATCATAACCAAAGCAGAACAAAATATTCAAAAATTAAGCTAAAATCCCGTTAATTTCTTTTAAAAAAACATTGAAAAAAGCTAGCTTATCTTACTGACTCCTTCATGACGAGATAAGAAATCAGTCAGGGAAAGAAAGCAAGAATTTATGAAAGGACCTGCTTTCGCACTGGTGGATTCGAACGAACGCATTAAGCCGAAATGTCTCAAAAGTATTTAGGACAAAAATTATTCTGCAGTCCTTGAAAACAAATCACATTATCTAATTTAATTGTTAAATCGTGCTGACTAACCCGCAGATGAGCGCATACCGATAAACGAAACCCAAAGGCAGAATGAGGATGCCCAGAGGAAATAGAAACATAAATAATAAATTAGCGGCATATGCGAAGGATATGTCCAAGTTGGTGATTAGTCCTAGCATCACAATCGTTGCTTTGCCACCTGATTCGTGTAGACCCTGAGAGATGCATCTTTGCCTATTTATAAAAACATAATCACAGAAAAGATGGGCCAGCAGACTAATGTTGTCTTTTTTGTTAAGAATAAAATACTTGGAGCACCAAGACTGCCCTGACTATCAGTCTGGATATCCCTTGTTAGTTGATGTTGCTGGAACTACATTTCTGTCTTTCAGGAAACCACATTACTGCCTTTCATGATAATCAGCTTCGAGAAGTCCTGGACACTAAGCAAATTTGAGGCA